ATAGTAGACTGTAAACTTTGAATCAAAGTTTAACAATCGTTGACATTAGTCAGTAAAGGTTTGATATAATTTAAAAGTAATTGTTATGATAAACGGATATCTTTCAATAAATCACTAAAAATCAGCAAAGATTGTACACCTATTTGATTGTCTTTCAGAACTTGTTAATATTCTATACATCTAAGCTATGTTAAATGATTGTTGAAAACCTGAATTCATTTAGCTGTTGTTTTGTCCTGGTATGGGACTCTTCAGTACTGTGAATTTACGATCCCGCATGTGGAAATCGAACCCAAGACCTTTCAGTCTCGCTTAACCTTTAGATCACTGAGTCAGGATCATGTGGTACTGACTTTTACGTTTAATCAACCCACGAAATTGCACGATAATCTCTATTGTCTTCGATAGGCAATTACCACAGATTAAACAGTGATTAGTTTCACTGGTCACGGCTGCTCACTAGAACTGTGGGTATTTCCTCTCAAAGCCAATCACTAGTTAGCCCATGAAAATTTATAGTATGGGTGTAATGATTTAAATGACGTTCTCCAGTCTTCACAACCCACACTGAAACTACAATCTATATTAAATCAAACTTTAAGTCTTTAGATATCCTAGTTACTATTTTATTTTCAAGCCACTTGGTCAGAATTTGCACGTCTTCATTTCTGGCATCAGAGTTATTCTTGTCAAATATTTTGGTGAATGTATAATAAGAATAAAAAAATCTCAAAAGATTAGAGTTTCAAATTCTTGGAGATAAATGCAAAACGAAGAGTATAAAATGAATATTTTATAATTAAATTTTGTAGAGTAAAAAGGGAGATGTAAATTGAGATGAAGACTTAAAGTTTATTATTTATTTCATAACTCTATGATACTTATGTAAATCTGCTTTTTTGAAAGAAAAAAATTATTTAAAAATATTAATCAATGATGGCTCTTTTAGGAAGATGTGGAGTCTTTCACGTACTTAGGAAGCATCATCAATGAACAAGGAGGATCTGCTGCAGATGTAAAGGCAAAGCTTGGCAAAGCAAGAACAACATTCTTATAATTGTAAAAAATATGGAACTCAAAACAACTGTCAAACAACCTACTGGGGAAGCAAATAAACCAGCTTCGAGCTGAGGAGGAAATCAGGAAAAAATGTTGGAAGTGGATAGATCATACATTTCGGAAATTATCAAACTGCATCACGAGGTAAGCCCTAACTTGGAATCCTGAAGGAAAGTGGAAAAGAGGAAAGCCGAATAACACACTGCATCGGGAAATAGAATCAGATATGAAAAGGATGAATAGCAACTGGAAAGAATTGGGAAGGATTGCTCAGGATAGGATTGAATGGAGAATGATGGTGGTCTGTCTATGTTCCTCCGTGAGAGATAACAGGCGTAAGTCTCTTAGGAAATGTTTATCTAAGAAAAATATTACATTTAGTAAAACATTTGATTATATCATATAAGTGTTCAGTTAATTCTAAGTTTGATAGAGTTTCGTATAAACAAATAATAACATCTTTCCAAGAGATTATTAGTCAAATTCATTGAGAATGATAACAATCAGTTTTATGATAACATAATGTTCAAACTGTCAGCTATCAAAACTGATCTAAAATAAACTATACAGTTAGGAATATCAATTTTGTTTACTGGTTATAAATGTTATCCAATATTAAACTATGAATAATGACCATGATAAATTTGTATTTAAAGTTTTATAACAAACAAACAGAAGTTGTTCTAGTTCTCTTACGAAGAAATACTAACAAACATTTGTCAAATGAGTTATTTTTACCATGAAAAAAAGGATGATCACATATCTTCTTAAACATTTTCTACTCGCTTTATTGAGTTTAGGTTGTTTTTAATTTTGTAAGATTATTTAAAACATAGTAATATTAGAATTATAATTATGTAATCTTGACATATACATAACCATGAAAATCGTGTTAACGCTGTTGTAAACAAGAACAGAATTTCTTAGTAAAATCTGAGAACCATCTAATAAACACTTCATTTGGAAAGTATAAATCGATTGTCTTAGACTTTGTTGTTTCTTCGTTCCTATACTAATCACTTTCAGTCCTCGCTTTCTTCTCTTCGATCTTCTTAACCTTCTGCCGCCAGGTATTTCACTTTTGATTGATGATGCATACTACTTTTATCTGTTGATATCAGTCGCACACACCACAACGCAACTCTCTTCTTTTGATTGTTGAAAAATAGTTTTCGTTAAAATATTGAGCAATTCATATCAAACAAACCTTAATTATATATAAAATTATAAATGAATTATTATTATTTTTATTACTACCATTCAGGATAAACAAAGAAAGTCTATCAGATTTACGTAATAATTTATGTGATTAGACCTTGTAAACTGATTGGTTTATTCTATGAACAATTTAACATAGACAACAAAAATAATAAGGAAATGTATTGACACACCATAGAACAAAACCATTTGTAAATACTTTATGAATATGAAAAACAGTTTGCAACTTGTATGACTTATTCTCCAGGTAAATAAATGTATGCCACGAGTCATGTGAGATGTTAATTAAAATAGAACGATATTGTAGGTACTACTGCAGTGAAATGAACACGAGTGGGGACAATCGAATTGTATTTAGCACAAAATTACAGAGTTACTTGATAACATAAAAAAATCATACTATAATACTTAATTTGCAAAATGATCAATAATTGTCTCGAACTTCGTTGTTCTTGCATTTTCATACTAATTGCTTTCTATTCGCGCTCTTCCTTTCCTGATGTTCTCCATCTTCTGCTGCCAGACATTACATTCCTGACTCGCGTCATAGACTACTTATATCAATATAAGTAGCACGCACCACACTACTAATACTACTACTACTACTACGACTACTACTACTACTACTATTATTACTACCAATACTACTAGAACAACTACTACCATTACTACCGATACTACTACTACAATCTGTACCACTACTGCTAATACTAATACTACCGATACCTTTATCATTGTTTTTACTAAAAACAATGATATTGAATTTAAACCAATTAAGTTTACTTATAAATAAACCTTTCACTTTGGTGATTTAAACTTGATCGTGGAATAGACTAATTGTCAAAATTATTTATTTGTTTTAAACAACAAAAGAATATGACCTATTTGTTTGGACATGGTGAAGTTAAAATTCAACATTCATGTGAAATTTATCAGACATGTTATTAATATAATATTCAAAATTGAATCTTATCACTAAGCATTTGATAATGCTTGTTAGCAAATGAAAATTAACCAGTTCAGTACTACTGTAATAGCGAAAAATTGGTGGGAATAATCAACTTGCTGTTCAGTGTAAAATTACGGAGTTTTTTGGTAAAATGTGAAAATCATACATTAAATACTTCATTTGTAAATCCTCTTTCAGTTGTCCTTTGCATTTTTCGTGATTCTCCCAATTCGTATTTTCTTTGTGCTTCTCTTTTCTATCTGTAGACATAAATAGCATACATCACATTACAAGTAATTCGGTTTCACAACCCGTATATATAAACATAAATTTAAACTTCAGATAAATTCGAATGTCATCCATGTAGTAATTCAAAATGAACAACGTAAGTGATGTATGAAAACTTCCTTAACCTGAAGGTCGATTTCATTTTCTTTTGTCATGAACTAGTGACATAATAAGCAATAAGTAATTTTTTATTTTGTTACAGACCAGTTACTGACCAGTAATTCTATCTTCTGATCTCCACTCATGGTGGACTTGCTTCATTTATTCGGGTTTGTAGGTGACCATCAACTGGCCACAAACGATTCAAGTGATTAATCTCATGTATCACTCAACTCACACAAGTTTTCTACCATTATCATGGTTAGCTATAGCTGATAATTCAAAAATGGGATTATAATTATAAAGAAATCAATTTACTACGTTCTGATAGAAAGCCAAAGAATTTGTTGCCGATAAACTCCACGAAAAAATTACTTTTGACAGGTTTGTATAGATATGAAATGAGTATAACTTTATTTCATCGGTTCTTTAATATCTATTAAGGATATTTGAGAACAATTATCAATATTGAGAGTTCGAATTCATGTCTACTTACAGAAGGATTTAGGCACATCTACTGACTAGCTCAAATCACCCAAAAATATGATACACCAAGCCTGGTTTCAGTTAATCTGAGGTATTCGACAGGAAGTGTCACGTCTAAAGTATTTGAAAGTTTTGTTGATTGGAAAAATGTATGTCTTTAAGCTCAAAACTAACCATTATATATTGAGATACATATCCATAATGAGGGGAATCTGCTCACATATAAGTCAAAGTTGGTGAGACTATGATTTATGGACGACCTTTGATTGACACTACATTGACCTTGATGATCACGTACTGGGTTATAAATTAGTGTGAGGAATCAGGATTAGGATTTTTAATTGTACGTTAGGCTGAGTTAGAATTAGGGTTTTTACCCCGAAACGACAAGCTATGATGCCAATATGATATTTAGCCAAAAAAAAGAATGAATTTTGCACCAAATTCTTAAATCCGATTGGATAGTTCACAAATTATAGTCGCTCAATCACTTGTTATATATTGTTTCGTGAACGTTAAATTTAGTTAGCTGATGTCAACAATTGTGATATCGTAGTTCATATACATATTTTAACCATCTTTTCTTTTTACGTGATTATTAACTTCACAGCTAATAACTTACCTAACTGACTGATAAGATTACAATGGGAACTTCAAAAT